AAACCCTCAGGAAAGGAGGAAATTCGGGTCGAGCAACGAGGAAAACGCAAAAGAGGAAGATAAGTTAATCGCGAAAGATAAAGAAAGAAGGAAGTAAAGAAGAAATAAATATATAAAAAGAAGATGGTTGGAAAAGGATAATAAAGGTGCTTCCAAGTGACCAGTATAGTACCAGTATTTCAAGTGTTAAGTTGGCACCGCACTTTCTTTAAAGTGTCTTAAAAATATTTCAACAATAGGCTTTTTCAAAGGTACTCGAGGAGTTCTAAAGTTTCTGATAAGTTTGAACATTGGTACTTGACTTAACTTGAATTTAACGAAAAACTGAGGGTGCAAGCGATGGGACGCAGTGGAGATTCATTTATCAGAGCTGGTGCAGCTGATCCGTTAAGGCCAAGAACTGCGTCCAGAAGACACTCAGGTGGGCATTGCACTGCACTTCCAGAACACCCGCAGAAAGTCCATAGAATTTCCCGGATATCGCGAGAGCAACGCGAGAAGTACACGAGCGATAAATTTCTATATCGTATCGAAACACAGCTAGAAAAATTATCAACAGGCAGCTCGTGACACCTCGGTCGGTGCCCCGGGACAGACTGCTCTGGCAATAGCCAAATTCGAGAACTGATTCGAGAACCAAATTCGAGAACCAATCATTCTGATTGGTCGAGATCCTTATAGCCGATAACTCTTCCTTTTCCGCATGCCGTCCCTTTGAATCAAATCGAGAAGCTTCCTTAGCGAATCGATACGTAACATTTGGAGATCCTCCACGGCCGCTTCCCCAGGACATCGGGCAACAGCTGGGCACCACATCCTTAAGTCGGGCAGGAGGTTCATCCCCTGGCCCTTAATCGTAACGAAACCTTATCCCCGAAAAGTCAAGACATTCATTTTGATGTGGAGCATTTTTATTAGTTCCGAAGAATTCCAGCAGATGGTGCTGTGAATTACTTACGGGTATTCCCGGAAATTCCTCTAGGAGACGTGGAATTCGGAAAATTCTCCTAGGGCCGAACAGCATATGGCTGCTAAGGTTGCAACCGGAAGCGCGCAATAAGGTTGCAAAGGCTACAACCAGGAACAATATAAATCCCAAAGACTCCCGTAGACTCCAAAATCTACGGTCGAGGAACATAATTCAAAATGGAATATGTAGACTTCAAAAATTTCACTGGTTTCCAGCAACACAAACGAAAGTAGGGATCACTTAAGTTTTTTTATTAGATTCATGAGAAATCTTTGAATTTCTTTAAACGTTTAGAGGTGGCCGCGGATGCTGTACTAGATCTTACGCAGACTTAAGGATATGCAAATTTATAGAAAAAACGTTACGACCAACTTTATCCAAAACAAGGACGACTATGGCGAAACGGAATTAATTTTAGTTAATGAAACTTCGCACAATACTGAATTGTCTAGCAAAGTATGGGGTTCAATTGAAGTTTCAAACTAGTACTGAGGTCCAGGACCTTCCATTTATAGCCTTACTAAGAGAATCACTCTCGGCTGAGAAACTTCCAGTAGCTACGAGCTGAAGGAATACTGATAACGATTTCAGTGATTCTGATAAGGAAATTCAAGATAACTCGGACTATGACGATGCAATCATTAAGACGGACGAACCAATTAATTTATTAAATATTGATCTGAGTCGGATTGCTTCTGTTAAAAATTCATCATTCACTGATTCGGATGATGAAATTATTGAGACTGATGCTGACGTGCACGGATCTACGTCTGAAAATGATATTTGAAGAAATAAGTCGATTGGTCAGTTTACAGAAAATTTTCCGAAAATTGAAAAGGTCAATATACAAAATTCTAATTTAGTAAGCGATTCGAATGATGTAAGAAAAATAAACGTCAGTCTTGATTTTATTGAAGCAAATGATCAAAGTCCACGATGTAGCGATCAATTGGATTCGAAATTGAATATGTTTTGGGATATTGATGATTTAAGGAATTTTCATATGAAAAGGGTTGCTTCTGGGAAAGGGCAATGTCGAGAGCATCATTCAGGATGAAAAGAAGCTTTTGATGCTGATAGATTATATTCATGACGAATTTCGTGAGATTTTACGGTAGTATTTGATGGCGAGAGAAGATCTGAAGAAGGATTGGTTTATGCTACTGGAAATTATATTATCTGCCAGAAAAAATCCATTTTTTATTTCTGCACTTCCGCCGGAAGTGTCATTGGAATTTGAAAATTTTCTGAAGAATCCTTCGCACCGACTTGACAATAAAATGCGAGCAGATAAAAATTGGGAAATTTGAGTCTTAAAAAAAAAATTTGTATACTTACCATGAGAAATATATATATGATAATAAAAATGTATAAACTGACAGTGTTTTACCTGAATGAGAAAAAAAAAATCAAAATCTTGATTATTCTCCAATAAAATCCAAAAATAATATAGACGAACAATTGCATTACCAAGAGCCAATAAAATATTGGGAACTGTTATCAAGGAATAAGACATTTAATCAAGATTCCTATATTACCTAATATTGACAAAACGTTGATCAACTATTCGCCAAATATTATGTCAGAAATATCTGAAGAAATTCTCCGTCAGACAACTCGGCTGATGATAAAAGGATCTTCGCAAATATTGAAATCAATATTTATCGACAAATCAATATCAGTCAAACCGTCGTAGCCGTTGAAATCCAAATCAAACCAAACTTAATAACAATACGTTATGAAATTTCCGCAAATATCAGCCAATCCACTAGTAAATATCTAAGCAAGCTTTCGACTACGTTACCACAGATAAAAATAAAAAGTATCAATGAAATAACTAATAAAAAAAAAATGCTAAAAATAGTAAAGGAATTTGAAATTCCTTTAAAATTTCAAAATTACGATTTGCAAAAATCAACTGAAACTTTCCAATGACAATTCGAAGACAACGACGATTCGTTTTGATATAGAAAAATCATTAGACGCTATACCGACTACGGAAAGCTATGTATTGTATAAAGATTTAAAGAATTTTTTCCAAAAACAGAAATAACAAAAAAGCATACATTGTTGTTGAGGAAAATTTACTGAAACTAAGCAACGAGTCTTCAATAACAGTATCAGTTGAACCTGTTGATTCTGAACCTGTTGCTGTCGAAACGGAGACAGATAAAAGTCAATCTGGACCAATTGAATCGGAGGCTGTAAACAGTTCGGATTTAAATATAAATATGATAAATAATATAAAATAATAATATCAATGACGTTTGTCAATCTTAATCCCGATAAATTATTAAATCGTCAATCAAATGATGAATCGTTACCCTAAAATTGTTGATACCCAAAAGGGAACATTTAAAAAAAATGCATACCAGACTTGCCTGGTAATCAAGATGGTAAATTGAATTTAGAGCAATATGGAAATTCGGACATGAATCAGGGCTACCAATATGAGAGTCAATCAAAATGTTAATACGATAAGAATAAATGATCAAAGACTTCCAGTATTTTCATATAACCCATAAACCCCAATGAATTCAGGTCCACGCTCCCAAAATTGACGCCTGTTCTTAATCAATTCCAAAATCCAAAATCACAGATACAACCATAACCAATGTGAACCATAAATTCAATATGGACACGAATCAGAATATCAATCTAAATCTAAACCGCCTAAGCCACAATGGAAATATCTCTAATCAAGAATCACCACAAGATCAACCACATTCGCTCATACCCGATTCGCAGCAAATATTAACCACTAGACACAATAGGTTAAGAAAATTAGGACCAACGGAAATCAGTATTAATTACGTATTATCAGCATTAATCAGTATAATTATGATCAGCGATACCAACAAAAACCCAAAATCAAACAAAGAAACCAATAGCAGTCCAAAGAGTATGAAGAAAAATATAAAAACCCTCATTTTCAACGAGAGCTTAGAAAAATATCTTAAAAGCCCAACTATCAAATTGAAACCAAAATCCCATCTTGTTGGAATTTCAAAAAAAAAATCTTTCGATAATAGTAATAATAATTTATACAACGACAATCGACATTTTCATTCGACTCAACCCTTTTACTCTAATTTATCTATTTAACTACTCAAGAGTAGCCTAATTACTAAAGATCCTCTAACTTCCGCTAATCCAACTATACAAATACCCATCAACACCAAAGTTATTATTATTGATGATTTTGATATCATCTTCAGACAGATCCTATGCTCTACCAAGCTCTAACCCCATAGGACCAGGTCGCCCTTTAAATCCCGTTGTGACAGCTCGAGTTGCCCAACAAGATAAATTTAACATGAACTACGACCCGAGCTTTAACTACGATACAAACTATAATACCAACTCGAAAAGTTTCAACAAGCCAACTTCCGGTCTTTCAAATAGAGCCCAACAACAGGAAGTGATGGTTCGAACTCTTGTACCACGATGAACAGAATGATAATGACGGAAATTTGTAAACAGTAGTTCAAGATATTCTTTTAAAAAATTTTCACAATTATATGAACCAAGAGGATGCCACTTCCGGTTACATAAAAATTTTAAATACTAAGTGACATTAATTGAAATACAGGTATAATAATACAGATAATACATATTATGATAATCAATTACATTCTAATAGTTCTATCTTACTGATGTATACGTCAACTTTATGTAGGAGATAAATGACCTTTGACACGTAACATACTCTAAGATCAAATTGATAAGTCTCATGTCACAAGATTGTTCGATATGAGCTGTTGAACAGTTAATGTACACAGAGGTCATATAATACTTTATGCTTGATACGTGTGATGATATATGATAGATAAGAAGACAGTCGACACGTCATAGCCTTATAAATTTTATGTGAACAATAAATAATATAATATAAAAAGTAAAGTACTTGGTTGAATAAACAAATATTTGAATATTAATAAAAATTTCTTATATATTCCATATTTTTTATTTATCGATCATCCTGAAGTAATTTGACGATCACTATAAACTATAATATTTTGCTCTTTAATAAAGTAAGAAATTTAATAAGGTTCACAAGGCACGCGTGATGTAAAGTTGACTATAAAGTTTTTTTGAAGAATGCGACTGATCGGCGTTACAATAATAAAGTTTAAGTAGAGAATATATTTGAAATAAAAGCGAGAATACATTCAGGATAAAGAATATCAACCGAAAACGAAATGAAATTGAAAATGCTTCCACTGTGATTCTTCGTGAATTTATTAATAGTACCCGTTGAGTGAATCGTTTGAATAAACAGAGATGGCGCCACGTTCGTGCGGGTATTAATTAAAACGACTAAACCTTTTAACGAGTTGGGTTGTAATATAAAATAATTAAGGTAACGAAAGCGTGGGGGTGATAGGGGAGTAATTAAATAATTTCAAACGATCCAATGCAAAGATATGGGTATGATTGATAACGACAGTAATGTGAATTACGATTAGAGTTATATGAGCTATGAATTATCTTTGCTCATTCGAAGACTGAGATTTGCTTGGATTTGCCTTCCAAATGGAGGATTTGTGTGATCATAAACTTTTAAATGTAATTCAAGGAAAAAAGAGTGAAAGCAGAGATTCACTATGAAATTTTCAAAATATCAACTTCTCCGGCTCAATGCCAGAAAGCTCTAAATATAATTTATACGCGGAACCATTAGACTTCGCTTCCCGCGAAAGAAATCGACGTGTTTCAAGCGTTAGCTGATATCACAAAAATTCCGAGCGACGAGCGGAGAGAGATAAACGAGTGAAAGGGAAGGGTACAGCCGGAAATTTATCGTTTTACAGAAGAATTGGCGCGAGCTTTCAAACCGCTTTTCGTAAAATAGTGGAACGATAAGAGCGTCTAATAATTTCAAGTCAGGGAAACAAATGACTCCTAAGTAAGAGAGCGTATCTGCCCAGCATACCAACACGAAGATATACTTAATCTTAAAAATAAAAAACCCCACTTCGACTAACCGGTCAATTTAGTTAGATAAAAAGGTATAAGCTTAATATCACGTTTAATCAGAGCATATTAAAAATGAAATACCTTTTCAAAAAATTATATCTAATTGCTCAATTGAAAAATATCCTTAATCAAAATGTACACTCCGATATACGTGTAAAAGAAAATTTTTCCTCTGCAATAAGATAAACTTTGATTTAAGATAAATCTCAGATCCTAAGTCGTGAAAGGGCTTTCAACGAGACACAAATATCTATTTTTTCCTCTTTTTCTTTGTCTAAGGGCTATAAATTTCTACGTCCTCCCAAGTCCCTCAGTGGACATTAAAGTTTTTGGAATCACCACCAAGAGACTGTTCTCTGGGAAAGTCGTTAAATCCAGCTTAGATAGATTTCATGAGTGTGTGGTTTGGGAATACAACAGCCTTCTGTAAGCCCATATGCATGTTCCTGTATATCCAGTTATTCTGCACTGAAACAAATTGACATAATTAGAAGCCTGTATAAAATCAAAGAAAATAAAATTCATACACAGTTCAAAGGTTAATACCATAGCATGAAAAATTTTCTTTAAACCATTTTTTTCATTCCTCACACAGATTCGTACCATCAACGTGACTGGGTCCCCCATCTCTAGAATTGTGGACTTTGCCCAAGAACCAAAAAGGACACAAGTCATGCAGCATCCCCTGCAATTGCTTCTATGTACATTGTCAGACAAATAAAATACAGACAGACAGTAAGACCACATGGAAAGCCAAATATTAAAATTTGAAAATTTCTTCTCTTACCCCATTCCAACCTTTCACTGTATGCTTTCTCCCCCTTTTAAATCTCTTTTCAACTCTCTTCCTTCACACTTTATTTTACTTCCTTTATTATCCTCTCTCCTTCTCTTCTTCCTGCTTCCACTTCACGTTTTCCTCATTTCTTCTCTCTTCTCCATTCAAATTTCATTCCTCCACCCCATCTTCCATATTTTCGCCTGCTTTCAGCCATCAGCTCCACCTTTCACCCCTTCTATACCAAGAAGACTAATTAATTTCTGTACCAGTACTCGATGCTCTGCCTTTGTCTCCGAAAAGATGTAATACACTGATTAAGTTATTGTATTTAATAACACATCATTCATGCCCTGGCATCCCCTATTGTATACAAAAGTGGAAGTACGGATTCAATGAACTGACGAATCGTTTGAATAGATATTCAATGTGAGACAAATTTTAATGAAAAAAATTTGCAACCATTAGGCAAAAAAAATTAACGACAACATTTTATACAGAAGTTCCTTTAAACAAAGATGAATATCGATATGAGAATTCGTTCTGAATATATATCTTGGAGAGCGCACAAAAGGCACGTATCATATATAATAAACATATATATATATATATTTCATGAATAAGTCTTTCCTCCGAAAACGTATATGTTACTGTTAAACGCGCTAAGCTATCCGCGCAAAAATATTGAAAAAGGGACAAACGTTATTTCTCATACCAGACTTCACGACTAATAGGACACGTAATGGAATTTTACAAACACTTTTCCAAGCCCGAGATGACAAATACCGTAGGAAAATTTTGATTTATAATGATAACAACCTGATGGACCCTTTCGTCATTTCCAAGAAAAGTAAACATACACGCATAACACATAACCGTGAAATACTATCCACGTTAAATTTCCAAGAAAATTTCTTGGCCGTGTAATCTCCAAAAATATATATAAAAATATATATATGTATGTATATTATACATATATAAATTTCTTGACGTATCCAGTATTATGAAAAAAAAAGCACAATCATTTCTGTATCTTGTCATAATATGTACATATACGTGTCGAACGTACCAAATCGAATGTCTTCTTCTTGTTATTAATATTATTGTTATAAATTATATAATAAATTTCTTTTCCAACCCATTCGTCGTCCCATTTGATCTGGTCGATTTTACAAATAAATCCTCGTATTTGAATTTTGGATTTCAAAGCAGCTATATGACAGCTTTAGATCCTTTATCATATTATAACGTTGAAATTCTTATATCTTCGCCATTGTATTCTTTTTGTAGCATGAATATTTTTCGAATTTCCGCTTAGAAACATCCTTCCTTATTTGAACGTCTTCCGTGGCTCTTCTTCGTGAAAGGATGAGCTTACTTCACCACCAATGTGAACCTTTTCCCATGTTTTTAAGGATTTCCACGTTTCCCACCGACATAAAATCCCTCGAGGACCATGTGCCACGGATACCAAACGCCGACGGTACTGCAGCCATTATTTGGATAATATAATTTGACGTCTCGGACGATCTTCCCTAAATATTCCAAAAGGAGGTCAGAGGTCACTGGATAAACTGAAAGATAAAATTTAATGAGAGCATACTCAAATTTTCTTATACAACCAACGCAAGCATTGAAAATATTACAAAAATTTTGTACCATTGACAAACTCCATATTCGATATGTTGCAGCAGTTGTTCCCTCGAACCCGAAAAGTATCTTGAACAAAATTACTCCGTAGTTATAGACATATAACTGAGAACTCAAATATATAACTTATAGATATATAACTGAGAACTGTATGCATATATAAAGTAGTACCAATGTCATTCCTTTCCAGTGAAATTGAAATATCGCGCTGAAACCCGCTGAGTAACGATCCAGTCGTTCGTCGTTTTGTCGCCCGTTTGGAAACTCGTAGAAATATCATAGTGACTGCGGAAGCTATTGTAATATATAAGTAAAGTGTTTAAAAAATCTGTCAGACCTCTTGAAGTTTACTGATAGACACAAATAAGAATATATTCATTTGAAATAATGAATTTTCCAAAAAATTTAAATATACAATTCAAAAAAATATTTGTCGACGCCTTAAAAGTATTTTTATGAAAAAAAAAATATATTCTTTAAATTAATATCAAATTTCAGTTCGTTCTACAAAAATTTCTTTTAATTACTTCTTAAGTATCCACTTCAAGGCCTTCACGGTCGCGACTGTCAAGGATGGAATATCTTTGCTTAGTCAGATATGTAGTAACAATAATTTACAATTAATATATATTACATAAGTATATACGTATACAAGAATATTCACGAGAAACGCATCACCCGAAGTTAGCCGATTCATTTGACTTCCATAACGGAACCACCTTCAGGCGGTGCTTTTGTCACGAATATAACATTGTACATACACATATGACGCAACGATTAGCACAGTCACTATTTCTACCTGCGATCCAATTAAATCGCTCAACTGCATTTAACAAGTTAAACGTGTACTCTCGTTATTAAATAATCGACCTGACGCCTGACACACGAAATGATAAAGGTAATACAAGCAGTGCGCATTGCGACGACACATTTTATCGAATGATGGACGTTTCAGTTATTTAATAACAGGCTCAATCATTTTGCGATACGCGAAATACAGGGGAGATATGTCCGAACCAGATTTAATTGATAGATATCGAGATGACACATATGCATATAGTCCTATTACTATATACAGTGTTTGTGTGTATACATATAGTATAAATATATTTCTTATTAAATTTTCTAGAAACTCTTACAAATTTTATACTTTGAGATTCGTCACTGGTCTCGCTCCAACTAAATCATTATTCTTCATGGGTTCTTGGAAAGAACTGCATCTGACAGAGTTATTAAGTTTTTATACCGTAATGCACTTTGTTACTGGAGCCGCGCACAGTGGAAGCTATATAATAGTATCAATAGGAAAGTAAAATTATGAAAGGAAACTGATAATATAGGGGGGGGGGAGATATTAAAAAGTGAAGATAATATAATTATTACTTGAACAGTGTAAAATCTCAAGATGGTATCTTGGCTTGAGATAATAGATAATTGGATAAATTGCTAATAAATAATTGAACGAGATAACATTTACTAGAGGGACAATAACAAGTGTTTTGTATTGTTAAACGCGCCAAGTGACAATGTGAATAACGATTGTGAAACGGTGGATTGTATTTTTGGGGAGATATTAGTTAATTAGGATAATTAAAAAAAAATTTATAATTGACTAATTTCATGATTCTGTATCGAGGATGAGTTTTGGATACAGGATGAAGTATTTCAGGGGTTTGTGCTAATCGGTAAATTAATGTCAGATATGAAATGGCTAATGTGAATGGTCGAATTTATTAAGTATAAGAAGTAGTTGCGTTCTTAATTTTGTCTAGTGCATTTTTTAAATTTACTTGACATTAAGATTACTGTGCTCGAGTCTATTTTTTTCTGACTTTTATTACTTGGCATAATTCTTGAGTGAAGATGAAGATACTCAGGGGTTTCGTACGGTGTGGAAAGGATGGAGAGGTTAAATATAAAAAAAAAGGAGGGTACGACCTATGTATTTTCACCCTAATAAGAATATATATCTTATGGGTTACGATGCAGCTGGATAGCACCTTCTGGAGTATAAAACCTATGGTCCCATAAACACCTTCTAGTGTTTCTGACATCCTGAAAGCTAGTTTAACCACCGTGTCAGTTGATGGCAAAGATTCTCATGGGTATCAAGAACCACTTCATCCCCATATATTACAGGGGTTTGAAACAGGAGATCACTGTGACATGGTGAACGTTGCCATTTTACATGTCCATGAAAGAGATCTTCGACATGGATATCAACAACTATCCCTCTGGAACATTTGAATTTTATTATTTTTTAATATTTACAAACCAACACAGTATTTTAATGAGAATTTGCAAATTTACTTACCCACAATGGATGTTGGATAAAAACTGTTTTCATCAATTTATAAATTAGTTGTTGCATCTTGATTAGATCTTCAATCCCTTGGAAAAAGTCATAGTAATTATATAGGCAGATAAATTTACTAGTAAAAAATTGCTTTCAACATTATAAATCTGAGAATGACTCAAAATTATAAGGAATCAGTTTACCTGTTAGTAAGTAGAGGACTAAAGGGATTAAGGGTTGTTTGATGTGACGTATATATGTATCAGTTGAAAGGGATAAAATGATGAAAAACATGAATGGGATGGCTTACGAAGAAAAATCCTCCTGCTTTTCCTTTCGACAAAGCTTGGTCTTCCAGCTTCTACATTGATCCTGTCGATGCCCATGAAAATGACAAAGAACATGAATAGAGCTTTAAGGATATTGTGAGAATCCTTGTCAGGGAGTTGGAAAGAAAGAAAAAAAAGTAAGAAAAAAAAGAAACTTGTCCCCTGACATTTTACCAAATCTTACCCTTATACAAAAAGGTAAATGTCTATGAAATTAAAAAATTTTCATTTTACCTGGATTCTGCCTCTGAGAACATACATGAAATAAAGGCACGTACCGGTGTCGCCTCAAGGGATTAATAAGGATGGTAATGGCAACCTAATTCAAGATACCATAAGTAACGCTTAAGCATTACAAGAAGGATAGGGTCCGATAGCCGCAAACCACCCTAAAGGGATTATGATTAATGATCGACCGTTACTGTTGTTAGAGATATCTCCAACAACCCCTCTCGCACCATCCCCTATCATACATACCCCTTAAAGTGACATACTGCACCCACTGACACGAACCGTGAGGATTTGTGGCCAAGTCAGGATACCGCCATGGCTATGACGTATAGTTCATATCAAAATCAGCTTCGACCAATAATCAATAACAGTCTTAGATAACAACCCTTAAATAATTTTAAGATAGAAAATCCAAAATCATCCCTTCTAATAAAACATACGTACCTATTATTGTAAGAGGCATTTAACATCCATAAATATTTATCCCAAACGGTTCTTCAAATATCATCGAAACTGTCTCTTGAATGCATGTCCCAGGAGTCTTCAAAACATCAAAGGTAACGTCCCCCGAGAAGGGAATTCAGTAGGGGATGAAATAGCATTCTTCGGTAGACTGCGACAGAAGAGCTCCTGTAAGTAATTCCAAGGGAGAACATGATCCCGGTACGTAGTCAGGGATTTGTCTTCCTGTCCTCGCATAGAATATGGATGCCGAATGGAGTGACTAAGAATTTGCTGGTTGAATCCTGAAAATCGAATTTCGTATTACGTTCTCGATTTGCTCACAGTTATTTTCAGTGTATCGAAATGGCTTTAACCCACCGCTTACCTTTACAGGGTTTCGTCGTGAACGGGAGAAAATATCAGCATATGCGTACCAAAGCATTTTGTAATGATACAATGGAGTGTAAAGGAAGCAAAAAAAAGGCTATTTAATTCGCACGATTATAGTTTGCCCTTACGGCACGAGAAAAGTAGATTAAAGGTATATTCGTGAGACAGCATGAAAAGTTAAAATAAAACATTATTAATTAATAAGATTCTTAATTACAAACGTACCAACATCATTACCGATACCACCGAGGGAAAAGTGCTAACAGGACCAGAACTAATTAAAAGCGCTATTTTAAATTCCTAAAGACACACCCGTGTTTGATATAGGAACGAGTGTTCGCAGAATTTTTTTTTTTTTTTAAAACGAAGCAAACGACTCAGTTATGAAAGTCTCGAGTCTCCCTTCTTATTTCTCACAATTGCCTTTCTCGTAAAATCGACTGAGACTTCGCCGTATAGAAAGAAATAAGAGAGTCTATCGATCGGTCAGTGTATAAAAACACAGAAAATGTGGAACTAAAAAGCGATTGGTTTTGCACGAGTGTCTTACGGTTAGATCCGCCGTCTGAGAAATGGCTTGGACAGCCAAGAGACGAAAAGTGAGTCACATTACATTCGCACGACGAGTTTCAAAGTTGGAATTCGAAAGATAGCTACGCCTGTGACTCGACAGAGGAAAACATCCACAAAAAGTAAAACAGCTGGTAGCTGGTTAGAAGCTCTGAGATAGGATTAGGAAAAGAAAAAGATTCATAAAGAGAAAAAGACCCAATAAATAATAATATAGGTAGGAATGACAGAAAAAAAAGAAGTAATGAAAGTCAAATTGAATATTTGAGCATGTTAGTAATCCGACAATTACACTCCTTGCTACCCTTACGCAACAGACCCAAATAAGGTTCGTGTCCATACTAAGAAGATTACAGGCTTTCCTATTCCTTAACCCAACCTTGCCATTTCCAGAAATGGCCAAGAAAACTAATACTCCCGTATCCCTTGAAAGCTTGTAACGTCGTTTTCTCATACAGTGCATCTGACTCTGCCTTATCTTCCCTTATCGATCTAAACTGCTTGACCCGAGATTGCGCCAATTGCACAATTTAACACAATTTTCAAGCCTCTCCTTACGAGAAGATTGTACTACAATACCCTGAAGGGGTTGGACGAAAGCTAATACAGAATTTCCTGATCCCTCGACGTAAAAGCTCCTGGAATATTCACATCAATTTGCTGAGCTTGCAGCGAGCTTTGCCGGTGCTTCGAAAATTCCTGAGACCCAAGGGGCCGTAGAGGAGGGGTAGTAAAATACTTTTTTTTTAAACCCACAGCAGCCAAACGCGCAGCAACCCTTGAAAAACCTGAAAAAAATAAAATAAAAATAAAATCTTCAAAATTAATAATACAGCTTATATAAGCAAAGTGTATAAATTAATAATTAATACTTCGTACCCTAAAACCAATTATTTATTTACCCCCAAATCCACTTAAATTTGCCAAAATCATGTCTCACTGACAGCCGCCCAATATCAATTGAAAATATCCGCGGCGGACAAAAATAGCACAAACGTAACGATTTACTGATAATCGCACTATCGGATCGTCGAGTGAATTGCATCGATTAAAAAAAAGTAATTTTAAAGGAAAATTATAACGATAACCTGTCAAGTACCATAAATATGTAAATCAATGACATTGATATGACGCTGACTTTATCGCGCTGTGCAGACGTCAACTATACTCGCAGAAATATGCGTGTGACATGTTACACGCATATACGAATAATACATATTTACATATGCGTGCACATGCGTATGTGCTATTTTCGGATTATGGGGATAATCGTAAAGCCTGGAATAGAAAATACGGGATTTGCCTGGTATTGGCAGTCCGAGAGTCTATAACATAATATGCTGTTAAACCGATATATATATATATATACTAGCCATGTGGTTTCTTATACACATATATATATAGATAGGTATATATACATCAATGAATAGATTATGTAATGAATCGAATGCTGCATAGGGGGAGATTTCCAGATAAGGATGAATTTAGATAAATTCCAGGAATATACAGGATTTATATAAAAATTAAAAAAAAAAAACTTTACACATTTAGCATACTTTTTAATATACCTTTCTTCTATACTCAACGTGCTTCACTGAACTGATGTAATAATGTAAAAAAAAAATATATTGAGTGCTTACCAAGTTTTTTTGTAAAGCACAGGTGTGTCACGGGTGGGGTATGGCGGGTGTCTATATTCACTATATTTTGAGTCAATATTTATGACACCCTTGAAATTTTACAACCCTTACAAGAGCAATATCAGGAAGCTCTACTTGTCATAGATTCTACTGACACAACCCTCAAGCATAATCCCTTAATTTAACACTTGTCACTGCCTTTGTACAATACAGGCATCCAATATACAGGGTGCATACAGGTACATCGGTACAGTATATACAGAGTAAATTTATAAAATTTATAATCTCTTTACAATAGCATTCTAGGCGATAATGATTATCAGATTGTTATTCAAAAGCTAGAATTTCAATTAATCACACATTCTACATATTTTAATCACTTAGGCTTATCATGTGGCATAGATAGTATCGCTTTATAGCTTTTTAAAATTACTTTAATACATGTTATCCGGCACCTGTTTCCATCGCTATCGTGACGCTGTAATCTAAAAAGTCATAGCTATACGAAGAAATTTCACAAACCGACTGAAAGGAGCTTTTTCAGTGCCTTTAGGAACGCGAGGCGGTACCAGACACGCAAGCGCTCGAGCAGTTAAATATTAATTACCTATCTCGGCTATAATCAGAATGTTAACACAGCCCTTTGGCAATACCAAATTAAACACTGTGAGCGTCAATATTTCTCCAAATAATCGCAACCTGAGGTAAAGTGGACGCAGTGAGTGATAAAAATAAATAGATTCAATAAAAAAAATTAAAGATAAAGAATAACTCCATTTCTCGACTGAATACGATGTAATATCCAATGGCGACTCTCGCCATGGGAAACGTGCACCGTATATGTCGTACAACAGGCAAGAGATATCGCGGCCAGGTATCAATAGCAAGAACGAAAGTATACACGTGACGTAACTGCAGCCACGAATTTCTCAGCTTTTCGAACGAACGAGAAAAAGGGAAAAATGATAAACTACCATAGAGCATACTTTTTCGATGGAATCGCGAAAATCCAAAGAAAATTCTATAGATGCCATCTCGTCTCCTATTTCTCAGTGCGAGCGTAAAGCTTCGTTTCTATGTTCCTCAAAGCATCAACTTCATCTTCGTTTTCGCTAAGTAAACCCAACCTAGAAATATCATTTTTTTTTTACAAAACATCTTCCACAGCCCTAATGGATTCCCCGTACCCGTGGGAAGATTGTTTACTAGACCTGCAGTACGCTGTTGCGTATTTCACGACGCAACAGAAGCGTCGCGCCCAACTTATTGTTTGACATTGTCAATAAGCAAGTCGTCTGCCCGATCCTTATCGTATTCCCAGCAGCAAGCTTATATCCCCTAGCCATTAACACTGGATATACCAAAGATTTTCGTTAAAGGCATATTTGCGTTGAAAACAGTCAGATCGACTGGCGATGGTAGTCCAGTGTTAAGATCGATCCTTAAAAAAAAGCATAGATTAGATTGGATAATATTTTCTGACATGCAATATTTATTAAACAGACAAAAAGAACCAAATTTGGTTTAACATCATTAAGAAGCAAGGCGTCTACCCAACTCCTAACGTATTCTTAGTACAAACTTTTTCAGTCCAGATGGCGCCACTTACCACTGTGTTAATCCACGATCGTATGCTTTCAGATACATGGCCATTATGAATCCACTGAAGCCACGTATGGGAAGAAGAGCGACACTCTGCATAGCAATAGCAATTTGGATAGTCGGCGCCATTTTGTCACTGCCAATGTTACTGTTCTACAAGACGTATACGCAAAATTTTGTCAACGGCGAAGTACGTGTCATCTGCTACAGCGATTGGCCAAACATAAGCGACGACGGTCTCAGCTACGAAGAATATCTGTAAGCAACGTTATTTTCTTGAATGAAAGAAAAAAAAAAAAAAATTGAAATTTTTTCAAAATTGACTTCAATGGAATCCTGAAAAAAGGACAATTCTATTAACGAAAAACTTTCGAATTTTTTTTCCACTTTTTTTTTTTTAATAACAACGCTCGAAATGTCACCGTACTGTGTCTCCGTTCGCGCTAATGCTCCTACTTAAATTCATAAAGCCCAAATTTTTCCTCCCCTCGTCCTCTCGTGCTTTTACACCGACATTACGGTGTAAACGTTTTACGACAAGCTCCTTTCCTTTGCTCATACCGCAAAAGCTCAACTCGACCCTAAAGCTCACATTATATCCTCGTGTTATATATTATACGAGGCAACGTAACACGCGCTTGATATCGAGCCAGCGCAATTACTGGTGCGCTTATAGCCGGAGATTGTTTCTTGAAGCTACCGGAAAGATACTGGTATATACATATAAGTGTACACGTATATAGGAATCATCGAATTGTTAAAAAAAAAATAGTCGACTTCCGGTTATGAAGGTTCACGTTATTATAGCAGAACGAATCTTTTGTACGCCGCCTAAATACACACACCTGCCATACGTGGAATATTGATGGGAAACGGTACTTTACTTAGTATACCGAATTTAGCAAGTTTTCAAGGCAGCACGATAAACGCAACTCGGAGCTCGAGGATCGCGCAGCTATTTCACGTATGTGCGATCCACGTTGGTTAGAAGTTACAATTAAAATGTAAACACGCTACACTAGTAACTTTTAACATTTGAACTTGTCGAAACGTGTGATTAATTATTTGTAATTAATTAATTGGGATATTACGGATGTTATCTGTGGCAATGCGATCCGTCGATGTCAATTAGACAGTAACGAGGTTATTTCGTTAAAATAGGATTTTAAAAAATTCCGTTCGGTCGTTAGTACCGATTAAAAGAAATTCAATGGTAATGTAAAGGGTCGGAAGACAAGAAATGACCAGGTAAAATGCCGCTCTTATAAAAGGGGATGGTTCCATCTCCTTCGAGTTAGGTTAGGTTCGCGAATTCTCATACGGTAATTATGGCAGCGTTACTCCAGCTACGGCTTATCTTGGATCCTCCTGTAGTCAATGCCGGGAATGTTACTTGAGTCTTTTACGAGAAGCCACTTGACACTTTTGGTATTTTGTCTCGATGAAAAGTCGTTAGGAAACTAACGAGTGGCGGCGCCACTGTCGCTTGCATTAGCTAACGTGTTATATTTGAATTAGATTTACGCGATTACGAAAACCTCTGGGTTAATCGGAAAAGTGAGGACAGTCTTGGAATCCGCGTTGAGTTTGCGTGAAAATAAAGAAATGAAATGATTGAGAAATAAAGTTAACTATAAATTTTCTACGGTAGCTGCTATCGCGCCTAACGCATCTACACTGCAATACATTTAATTAACGAGGAGCTAGTGAATTCAACACGGTTCCGATTTTATCTAATACACTTTCGCAATTCGGGCAATGCCATCGAACAAAGAGGTTCTGTAATTTCGAAACCAAGAGCTTCGTCTGGTGAAGCATTTTCCGTCTAACAAGGACAAACGTTCAGTGTCAATAGAGACAGTAACGTGTTGGGAAAATTATGAGAATTATCGTCACGAGCCAAGCCACCCCATACTATCATCTCGACTACAAATTCTAACCTCTTAAAAGCCATTCAACCTAACAGACTGTACTCCGAATTAATATAATACATAAAACAACTGACAAGAAAGCCGACGAAGAATTCGTCTAAAAATCTAAGCAAGTATTAACGAATAAGAAATTTCTCAAAAATATATTAAAAAATTGCATCACTGTCAAAAATTTTTCAATTAACACAAAATCCTATTTGCAAGCAGGCTATTATAAATAAAAGCTGCCACATGATTTTTCAAATCTCAGGCAATTTCTTAACAAAATATTGTGAAATTCTATCCCAACGCTTTAATGCTATAATTAATCAAGCCAAGAGATAAGGATAAGGATCAGTTCGTTAGGAGTGAAATTTCGAGATTGAAAGCTCTAAAGCTTCAACCCTCCGCTTCGCGCAATTTGTTCTCTTTCTCCGCCTGCTCAATCCCATTTGTACTTGTGCTTCAAGAATCCAGCAATTCGCGTTCATTAACGTTGCATTAATTATCCAGCTATAAAGAACCCAGTGTACTTATCAATGGCACTAGCGATACGTAATACGAATCTAACAATCAAAATGTACATCCGAGCACGTTTCAATACTTCAATTCAAATATCACGTGATAATGGAACTGAGAAAAATTTTTTTTTCAAAAAATTTCGTGACTAAGTCATACAAAAAATTCTTTTCACAAATTTTATCATCCTCTCTCAAATCTTCGTGTAGATTAATCTTATTTTCTTTGTTTTTCAGGTACAACGTCATTTTTATGTTTCTAACGTATTTTCTACCAATTGGATCGATGACCTATACCTATGCAAGGGTTGGCCTTGAATTGTGGGGCTCGCAGAGCATCGGCGAGGCCACGCAGAGACAACTGGATAATATTCGAAGCAAACGAAGGGTGCGTGTGCAAGAAGGATATGCTTTTGTATATATATATTCTGAGAAACAAAAAAAAAAGTAATACCGCTTTTTCACTCCAGCCAAGTTTACTTCATTTTTCCCACTTGGGTTCGATGAGGCTGATATCTTATATATCGGACATTAAGACACGTAATAACATTAAAGATTAGCCCCGGTGGAAGGTACCCGATGACGTTAGCGGGGTAACCCGCACTTCTACAGCCTGATAATATTGACTTGATCCGAACTCGTAAACCCTCACTTATATTATTATTTTATTACTGGCAGGTTTCCATGGCGCGAAACTTGCCTTATTTACGGTTCACGCTCAGCGATCAGGGGTGGCATTATCATCCCTCAACTACCAGCAGGGTAGCCAAGTTAGTTTTTATTTGCCTTTTTTTTTTTTTGTATTTCTACGATTTTACCTATTTTTCACAATTCTCAACGCTTTTATACGTTTCATCGTATTTTTACCTGCAACGCGTAAAAGGAGTTCTCGGAACGACGTCGACAAGACGCGCGAACACGATACTATCCAATCACTTTGAAATAGTCCTGTGGACTGACATAAAAATTCCATACGATTCTATTGGGATTTGCTGCGTTATTTCCGATAGCCGTGAATGCTTTGTCGGTTCGACGTAAAAGAAATAAAGAAAAAAAAGAAAAAGTCTACAAAAGATAAATATTATAGATCTATGTTACTTGGACGTTCAAATCGAAGGGGAAATTGTGATAGAAGAAATTTCTTATTTTATCCTTATATACGAAGGGTCTGTATACGTCGATCGTATACTAGGTGGTAATACAAAAATATATTTCTAGTCAATCTGAATATTGAGAATGAAATGTTTGAGAAAAAATGTTTAATTAGAAAAATCTTACTTCGTACAATTAATTCAAAGGGAATAAATATTCGTGGGAGAGTTTACTCTTGATTTATCGTACCTGAAATTGGTTCTCTAAAATTGCTAATAAAAAAAAAAATCTGCTACTCAATTAGCAATTTAATTAGCGTCAAAGACGTTTCCACGTGTATCGATAATAGGAAGGGGCGAATAAAGAAAATATTGTTGAAGATACAAACTTTCGGTAGCTACTTATAAAGAAATTCTACGGGATCTTAACGAGACCTTGAAAACGCACCCTTAGAACAATATCGTTTTATCATAATTAAACAGAAAATTGGATAACTATTTTTTTTTGTCACTTTGACAAATTTCGATTTATAAACGGATGCAATAATTTTTTAATCGTTCGTGACAATCTAAATCGCAACAGGTTTCCATTCAATTAAAAAAAAAAAAAAAAAAAACAAATAGCCATCCTACCTTGCAGTTGAGTTTCCAGAAAGTTCTTCCACAAGAATCGGGAGGTTATCTTCGCAACGGATATTGAACGAATCATTTAATTTCCGTCGCCGGATCAGCTCGTCCCTTCAAAGCCGTCGATATGCGTAATTGATAACTGAAAAAAAAAATATTCAAAATTATTATTCATCCACAATTCAAATATTCCAAGATCACTTCGACGTCTCCCCTTTGTCTGATACAACGAAGTGAAAGAAAATAAAGAGTGTCTACAAAGCATTAAAAAAAAAAAAAAATTCGACCAATAGCGTTACTTCTAGCAGGCAAGTATTTCTCAAAGCTTCAAACAACAACTGGATTTCCCTTTGTACGTCTTTTGCATTGTATCTTCCATGGTGAAGATGCTTGCATTGCTTTGCGTTATTCGGTGCACCCTGTATACGTTCTACGTATGCGCGTATAATAGGCGTCAGACAGAGACCTTAGAAAAGCGAGAAGTGTCGCTGATCGTCATTGCTTCTCATCACCGTGAAGATGAAGGTGTACCAGATTAAATTTCATTTTCACGAAATCTTCCCCGAAGCCCACCTAACGCTAAAATATGGCGGTCCAATTAGTTTTAGGCACACCCTGTATAAAGATGTGTCCCAGCTTAGCGTCTGGACGCCAGAGGCGCAACCCGGGGAACCGAAGAGACGAGAAGCCACGTAGCTTGAAGGGAGTTTCAGCGTTAAACCCCATTATAACTTGTAATTAGGTGGTCCCGCCTATAGCCGGCAATCTTATGGCTGATCCTATAAAGATCTTGTACATGTTCATTTTCAAAAAAAAAAAAAAAATTCTTAAATTCTGTGCTGATCGACATTTTTTTAATACAAATTTAATTATTTAACCCCATTCGAATATTTAAGAATCAAATTCATTAATGGCGTCGACAGTGCCTCCTGTAGGAAATTTCGAAAAAAAATTTTGAACCAATTATAAAAAAAAAATTTTAATTCACTCACCTCGGATTCACCAAAAATTTCATAAATCCTCAATACAGTAGACTTCGTTTAGTCGATGCTCGATAAGTCAATTCCTCCCCGATCTCAAGCGTATTTCAACCCATTGGGACACTCGGATCATCCCCACTGCCAGTTACCAACTTTATGGTTTTACCCGCACGAAAAGACTGAGTGTTTGAAAAGAAGCAGGTACTATAAATTTTGATGAAAAAAAAAACTCAAAGAGCGGGGGCTCTCCCTTCCCCTGCACCCGAAAAACATTCATATAACGAGAATCCACTGTGACGTTTTAATCGTTGTTTGTAACGTTTAACCGTTTGTAGTATTTTTAAAAATTATAAGCGCTGCCTATCATTTGTTCTATGAAAAAATCTATATTCTGAATTTCCAAAGAATTGCTGAGAAAAAATTTAAGTTTTCTCGTGAAACGGCTTGTGATTGTATGAGAAAATTGATCGCGAACAATGACCATGCAACGAAGTAAATAAGTCAGAAAATAAAATAACTAGTTCATAATGATATTGAATGGCTTATTAATGCGAATAGGGTATGGAATAAAATTGGTTAAGAAAATTTGCAACATAATGGCTATACTTGTCCGAGTACCATATTAAATTTATGATATGCACGGCAGTTGATAAACTCGTATGGTTATACAGGTTAGCCATTATTAATAAACCAGTATAGATACAGTAGGCAAGCATACTAATAGGATACGGATAATAGAACGAAGCAGCTTTGCATAATAGGAAAATCCAAGAAACAATAAAGCGTTAAGCTCGAAAAGCACAGGGAGTTTACTCCCGGGCAAGTTCTCCAATATGAAAGCTATAAAATAAATAAATAAGAAGAGAAGAAACGCAAAAAAGTTTCATAACTAACTTACGTTAACGATCGAGCAAGCCGGGTGGAGATATAAATTTTCCTAAGACAAAGAATCCGTCGGTAAAGAGGAGAGCCCCCGTCGTTATCGACAGAGTCAAATGAAGTTACGCGCAATAATAAAGTTTCGTAGGATTCCGCAGTGCTCGACTAATATATAATTTTTAGCAATTTACCAAGAGCAAACGAACCGACAGCCCCAAATTTGGATATACCGTATTCGAACAAAGCAAGAAAGTCAGCTGAGTAGCCAATAACGTCGTGAACGGTAAGGAAAACCGTTTGTATAAATAGGGTTTAAAATGCGCGGGAAATCGTATAATTTTGAAATATTTGAAACCGGCCGTTAAGAGAAAACGAATAAAAGGAATGCTTGGTAATCCAATATCGCAAAGGATATCAACGAGGGGGATGACGAAAAACCAAACACCCCCTATGTACGTATACATATATATACGGTTCGGAAATAATAGCAGAAAGAGAATGCGCAGAAACTGCGTTGATGGGAGGGGAGTTACAATATAAAAGGGGAATAAAATGTGAAAGCTTTACGAGGATCACGGTGGCAGCAATGCCGTTGTCGGAGTAGTGTCGTGGGAGCAGTAGTAGCAGTGGTGCCAATGCAGCAGAATTTCTTTTCCGTAATCCATGGATAAGGGAAATGGGGTCAGTTTAAACCCCAGTATACGTACTACATTACGTAGGTACTCGGTGGTATCCACGGTTTTTCTATTTAAATAAAAGAAAACCCCTTGAGGTTATTCGTTGCTTTCAAGGTTTTTGATAAAATCCAGGAACATCGCAATTTTTTCTGCATATACCGTGAATTTAGGAAATTCCAACGACCGAACATATTTTGCAAATAGACACAACACCAGGAGATAAAATAGAAACGCAATAAAATGTAATAAATTTAGCTAGCTCCACTATCAACCCGCGAGTCATGGTAATTACAAATTCCCAAAATTATTGACACACCCTGTATATTGAAATAAGAAAAATAAATCATAATCATTAGGATTATTTATGGGTTGCTTATGCAATTTTTTTTTCTTAACCCATTGCAAAGTTACGATAAATGCAGTTATAATTTTTTCAAATACTTTTTTTCCCGCCATTAAAATTTAACGGGAATTCGTATATTTATTTGAAAATAAGTTTTACGTATCACGCATCTAATTTACGCGCGAGGGATGCAATGGGGACGAAGAAGGTTTCATACGCTTTTCGTGTTAATTGTTAAAAAAAAAAGGTGGACTAATTAAAGGTTTCCCCTATTAATTGCTGCGCTTTAGTTTACGCAAGACATAATTTTAAGTTAGGTTAGGTTAATAGTAGGTAAGAAACTAATAGCAAGGGTAAAGTTACGCCACCTTCGTTTCTCGTTACCCCAAGGCATTTCATTTGGCAATAATAGTGCCGTGGTATTAAAATCCCCGAAAAGACGGATCGGGGTTAAAAAATTTGGAAAAAAAATTTCTCACCATTTTTCAAAATCTACGGGAAATTTTATTTTCACAATAAAAATATTAACCACCTTGCATCCCTATGACATATGCATTATTTTCCTATGAATATTAATAGCTATACGTTGCTTTCTTCGAAATTTGAAAACGTTGGCGAAAATTTAAGAAAAAAATATCAAATCCAAACCGAGTCAAAAAATCTTCTATTAACCACTTAACCGAAAATCACGTTTCCCATATATTGAGTTATCTGGGACCCACGATAGTTTCGCACGTTAGGGATACGTACGAGATTCGCTGACTTTTGGTATAGAAATTTTTTTTCCCGTA